GCAAAGGCCAAGCCCACAGATCAGATCACTTTGAGCACTGAAATGCTGAGGATTCTTCCACTCTACCATGACAGAACAGCTTACAGGAAACTTCTAGGATTTCCTGGAGTGCATAAAGTGGTTTGAATGATTAAAGCAGTCCCCTTTTGAAGCAACCCTCAAGGTTAAGCAAAGATTCTATATACTTTGCTTTTTCCCGGGCATGGAAAAAGCAAATCTGTTCAGACTTCCAATTTGCGTTTTTTCCCAGGCCTGGAAAAAGCAAACTGGTGCAGACTTCCAACTTGCCGTTTCCCGGGCATGGAAAAGCAAGCGGGTTGAGACTTCCAATTTTGCCTTTTCCAGGCATGGAAAAAAACAAATTTGCTCAGACTTCCAGTTTGCTTTTTGCCGGGCTGGGGCCGGGAAAAAACAAATTGGCTCAGACTTTCAAGAATTGGTTCAGCAATCTTGCTGAAGGACTTCCAATTTGCTTTTTCCCGGGGCCGGGAAAAAAACAATTGTGTTCAGACTTCCAATTTGCTTGTTCCCGGCCTTCCAGTTTGTTTTTCCCGGGCATAGAAAAAACAAATTTGCTCACACTTAGAATTTGCGTTTTCCCGGGCCTGGAAAAAAACGAATTGGTTCAGACTTGCAATTTGCCTCTTCCCGGGCCGGGACAAGGCAAATTGGTTCAGACTTCCAATTTGCTTTTCCCCGGGCCTGGATAAAACAATTTTGTTAATACTTTTAATGTTCTCTTTCCCGGGCCAGGATAAAAGCAAATTTGTTCAGACTTCCAGTTTGTTTTTTCCGGGCCAGGATAAAAGCAAATTTGTTCAGACTTCAAAATTTGTTTTTTCCCGGATTGGTTCAGACTTCCGATTTGCCTGTTCACAGGCATGGAAGAAGCAATTTGGTTCAGACTTCCAATTTGCTTTCTTCCCGCGCATGGGACTTCCAATTTGATTTTCACGGGCCTGGACCTGGAAAAAGCAATTTGGTTAAGGCGTTCAATTTGTTTTTCCCGGTCCTGGAAAAGCACATTTGGTCGGACTTCCAATTTGCTTTTCCCGGGCATGGAAAAAGCAGTTTTGATCAGCCTTCCAATTTGCTGTATCCCGGGCCGAGACAAAGCAATTTGGCTCAAGCACGGGAAAAAGAAAGTTGAAAGTCTGATCAATACTGCTTTTTCCACGCCCGGGAAAAAGCAATTTTGAAGTCTGAACTAAAGATTTTGCCGGCCCGGGAAAAAGCAGACTGGAAGTCTGAACAAATTTGACTTCTCCATGCCCGGGACAAAGCAAATTGGAAGTCTGAACCAATTTGCTCTTTCCCGGCCCGGGAACAAGCAAATTGGAAGTCTGAACCAAATATTTTTCCTGGCCCGGGGAACAGCAAATTGGAAGTCTGACCAAATTGTTTTTTCCAGGCCCGGGAAAAAGCAATCGGAAGTCTGAAGCCAAATTGTTTTTGCAGGGTGCCCAGGTCACCAACTTGGCTTCAGCAGACCTTTCGCAGGACCTTCACGAAGCTTTCGCGACTGCAGTGGGAGCACACTCAAAATCAGTCTTTAAAATTTGTTTACTAAAAAAGTAGAGGTGGGCTTTTGAACGACGCTCATATACAGGTAGTGAGCCAAACAAGGTCCAAGAGACCAAAGCTTGCAAGCTGAACATCAGGCTTCTGCAAGTACCCGCGATTGTCCCCATGGACCTGCTATCGGCCCGTCCTGCCAAACAGAACTGAAGCTGTGTTGAAATAAAAGACCCATGACGGAAGAAACGCACAACTTCACAAAACCCTTCCAAACCGGTGTAGTCTATTGTCTTCAAACCACTGCTCCAATTGCACGCCTGCCAATCATTGAGGAAAGCATTTTTACAAAGCATTAAATATTGAGTTATAGAGGAACGCAAAAGATTGATCATGCAAACAAATGCTCAGTGGAATTTGGTGTGAACAGTTCTGCACCAAACACCTCTTGAAGCAAACTCACTCGTCTGCGCCTGGGAGTTCTGGGGGAGCTCTTCTCTGGGCCAGCTATTGAGCTGTAAATGCCACGGCCACAAGCTGAAAGGCAAAAGAGTTGAAGCTCAGGCGTCCCAGTTCAGCCCACCCGATTCTTGATCACTCAAGAAAAAATGCATAAACAATGGCACGACGTCATACGATGTGTTTCTGCTTGGCGTTTCTGGGACAAAATCACATCTGCGCAATCATCCACAAACGGTCGACATGAGTCTGGCGTATTTGTCCAAGATGGGCATCAAGCGACTCGACTTGGATGCGTTTTCTAATGGTGCCCGCGCCCGCGGCACCAGCGGCCCCCGCCGGCAGAACCGCCAACTGGCTGGCGTACCCACTGGAGCTCCACTGAAGCGGCTGTGGAGACCAAATGGATCCTCAGATCGGCTGTGGCTGAGGTGGGCACGGTGGGTCTGTGGAAAAATGCTCCGACTTATGCAACGCTCTGGTGGAAGGAGACTTGCTGGACACCCAGCTGCTTGAAAGGAGGAGAAATACAACTCAACTCTCCACCAGTTCATCTCCAACATATAATAAAGTAACTTTAGTCGTGAGATAGGCCTTCCACAGTCCATTGGTCCATAGTCCGGTGCGAAAAAGGTGAAATGGCAATCTATACCCGGCCCTTTTCCTTCGTTTCGCAGTGCAGTGGCAACCAGGTTTTCTGATCACCGGCACTATCTGGGTCCCCACTTCTTGACCCCAAGATAGTGCCCCCAAGCGCTGCAGGTTCAGTCCGAGCCGCTTCAGTTCTTCCACTCAAGTCCGGACACTCCCTGCCCTCCATGTTGAATCACCGGATAAGCACTCAGGCCGAACTCCCTAGTCCCTCGTGAGTGCTCAAACTTCCCGCTCCCGCGGAACCGCGCGCAAATGCATGTGCTGCCCCCACATGCGCTGCAGCCCCTTCTTGTGGAGGCTGGGATGGCCCCTGCCTGCCACATCTCACCAGTACGGTTGAGGAAATCAACATGGAAAATAATTCCTAAAAATGATGTGTAAAAAAAAAATATACACAGTATATTAATATATGAGATTATTAATTATTACATTATATAATCATAGAAGACTTCTCTCCTGGGTCATCTCCCATTGCTTCATTCGTCAGTTCCAGGCATCCAAATCATTAAGCCCCCCCTGGGACGGTCACCCTCAGCTCTTGTTCAAACCTCGTGGCATTCATGTCGCCCGCAGTGGAGTTTTACAGGCTCTTCCTCAACTTCAAATTCGCAAAAAGGACGAGTCGATCGAATCTTTTGGCAAATCTGGGTGGTTGGCTGCTTGCCTCTGCCTAGTTCTTCATCAATGTTCCTTCTGCAAAAAAAAATCCAGTATATCTTGATGTTGCTCTTTCATCGCTTTGTAGCGCCGGGATTCCCTAGGACTCAGCGAGATCTTCCTAACGCTGATGTGCAACTCCGGAAGGTCAAGCAAGGCAACCCTGCGCCCAGCCGCAAGGGCTCATAGACCTCAGGTGCGTGAAAAACCTCCTTCGATCAATGGTTTTTGCTCATTCCCCTCACAACTTCCACCGAAAGGGCACCATGCCAAAAGTCAATTTTGGTTCCAACATTGTTGGGAAGGAGTTGTGACAATGGATGGCAATGGAGACCTAGTTTTGAGAAGATGGTCTTCATCTTGCTGAATGCAAGAAGTCCACCACAAGTCTCCACAAGTCCCAGCTTGAAGTATCTGCCAATCTTCTGCCACAAACAGAACGAGGAAAACTCGTGATCACCACCGCACGAGGAAAACAAGGCAAGAACATGTACATCGAGATCACTCTCGTCGCCCAGAAATGGACTCCTTCTCTAGCCAAACCACATCTGCCACACTGAATAAACATCGTTTGGCTTCCAACTTTGGTTTTCTTCGTTTTCTGCCGTGAAAACCGACCAACGTCCGATGACCGCAGCTCCTTTTCGGCCGGGCGAGATCCGCTCCGAAGGACTTGAACAACCGACCGGCCGGAGGATCTAGGCTTCGTAAGGCTCCGGTGCCGGTCACTGTTTTTCCCCCACGCGTTCATCAGAGCGCAAGCAAGAGCGAGTTGTCTGAAATGGTGACGTAACCCCTTCCCCCTAATTCGTGAGCACCACCTTAGGACCTTTGGGCCAGGTCTCCAAGTTTTGCAACGAAACAACGGGCACTGGATATTCATGATAGCTTTGATCTGTTGGGGGAGGAATTGAGGACTGCACACTCATTTCCCACTGAAGATCTCCGCAGGGGCGAGAAGCAAACGAAAAGGCCTTCCACAACTCTCAGCCTCTCTCTCTCCAAGCAACCAGGGATTTCTTGATATTTTTTGGCCATGGGCCGCAAAATACGCCGGATGGGTGCAATTGGCGAACTGGTGGGTCCATGCATCAAATCTTTCTTTGGTATCCTTGCATTTCGGGTGTCCAAGGTCCGAAAGAGCCATAGAGTTCTTTTGATCTTTGCAAGACTCAGTCGCTGGAAAGCCTTGGCCAAGAGCCTGGCTGGGAGCCTATTCGACTTGGGCCACCGTAGTCTCCAGTTGATCGATACAAACACTGCGAAGCTGATCCTGGCTCACGTCACCAAGGACAAACCGGTGGTCCAAAAGTGCATCTCTTTTTCAGCTAAGAAGCCGATTCAATCATGCGCCTGCTTGAGTGGTTCAAATCGTCAGGCGCTCGCTCGCTCAGCATGTGCCCATTCTCTTGGTAAGAATTGTGCTCGCTCAGTTGCCCGTCTGAGCGGCAAATGCTTGCGCCAGTGTGGCTCACTGTCAAGTCATGTGGGGTGGACTCACTCCATGTGTGAAACTCCACTTTTGACGTGAAAGGACCCTTTTTCCTCCTCGAAGGTGAGAGGTCCACAGGGAGTGAGAAACGGGTTACGAAGGCATGGGTTTGGGATGGATTTGGCCGTTTTCAGGTGAGATTCAGGGCACTTCTGTGAGAACTATTCCACTTTGCCCTACGGGAGCACGTTTATTCAGCTCCCAAATACCGCTCTCATCTGTGAGCGGGCGGGTTGAGATGAGGGCTGCTGCTAGGTGGTTGAATGGGCATATGCCAAGTGTATGACGCTACCAGCTACCTGTTGGCCTGCCACAGGTCGAACCTGATTGATTCACAATCATAGAAACCCAAACAGCAAAGCACCGGTTGTGTCGGCTGTTTACAGCTGTGAGGTCGAACCTGCGATCTCGGATCCGTGTCGAAGCTGCGATCTCTGCATCGAATGGACCCTCAACAAGCATAGGGGAAGGACTTGCACACGTGGCGTCAGAGTGGCGTCTGCCAACAACATTGAAATTGACCCCAGGAAATCCCAGGAACCCACCGAAGGTAACCACCACGGGCACTAGGCACCAGGTTTTTTATTTCTCATGGATTCTTCGGATTGGTGGGTGATTGGTGGTTCCATGATGTTCCATGTGCCCCCTCGTGGTTACCAACTCCTGGTGGTCACTGGGCTCACTGAGTACACTAAGCGAAGCAGCAGCACTTCACCGACTACAAAGCCCGCAGCCTGTTTCTGGATTACCCGTTCAGGACCGAAGACTGAATTCGGCAATTCTCTGAATTAGTGCTCTCCGATCCCACCATGTCTTTTTGGAGCACCGAGCGGCTCACATGGGTCTCAAACCGACTGGGATGTCTGCCGGGATGATTTATTTGGGAATGCGAATCGAATTGAATCTCAATAGGGTTCCGGAATATCTCCACTCTCCGTGCAATTCTGGTGGGTTCCGGAGGCCGTCTCAAATTATTTCTCACAAACGCCGGTCGAGCAGTTGAAAGACATTCTCATCGGCAGGTCCTGAAAAATACTTCCGCAGCCCTGCTCGTCGCATCCGAATACCACCTGACCAGCCGAGGGGCTGATATCAAGACATTTCCAACGAATGTACATGTGACACGTTTCCTCCGCCGCCCTTCACACGAGGTGTATAGCCAGCGCCCCAAATAGCACATGAACACGGGTGCGGCTATTTTAAGGGCCCAGTACTCACAAGTTTGTTCATGTTCCTCTGTACATTCTGTCCCAGGTTTCTTGGATGGTATCCACACACGCTCATGGAAATATGCCCTGAGGGTAGTGGATCTGAAAGAGATATATCACTGCCTGCTTGAAAGTGTATAAGACATGTCCACACGTCGAAACCTACCGGAGCTGGGCAGGTGTGGGTGTCCCGGCCGGGAACACACTCCAATGAACACATCATAACACATCACATGGAAGTGGACACTACCCCTATCCGTGCAGAAGGGTCCATGTTCATCAATTTTCCATCTCCATGTTAGTGAGCCGGAGGGTAGTTGTACATGCTCATCTTCCGGGGGGTTAAGTTGTCAGGAAAACTGAAGTTGAACATGTTGGCGAAACGCGTCAACATCCGCTGACTTTGCAAGTTCCACATGTTACACAACCACTGGCACCTCCATTGCCTGCGTCAATCTGAAATCTGAATCAAAACCACCTCCCCTCCAAACAAGAACCTATGCATACAGTAAAAGTTTGGACACCCCGTGGCCCCGTGTCTGCTAGTAATTTGCAGTGTGTGTGCCAAATGTACAGGACATCAGCTGGTCCCAAGTGAACCCAACCTACCTCCAACTACCTCCACCCTCCACCGTCCAAGGCACTCCAGCCCGAATGAGGCTGATCACCGTGCGCGTGGTCCCCGTGAGGACGGAATCCTCTGGAT